TTTAAGCAACTTCAGAATGTAGAAAAGAAAAGGAGTAGGGAGGAAAAGGAGTTATATAATCAGACTAAAGTTCTGTCTCCCCTCATGACTGCAGAGGATTATGACTCTTTGGTTCAGGGAATATTGCTGGAGAATCAGATCAAGTCAAGAATTGCACAGCTTCAAGAATACAGGCGAATGGGCGTGACATCTTTTGCTGGTGCAGAAGAGTATGAAGTTGCCAAAAAGCAAAGATTGAATTCTGTATTTTCAAAGTCTCCATTCTTTGGGAGTGATCGAATAACAACAAAACAACAGAATCGTTTGTCGATTGATTTGGGCCCTGATGATTCCAGTGGTTTAGGATTATCAAACTTGAGAAGGACAACAGATTTTCAAAAACTTGCATTGGAACCTCTTGATTTAACTGGTTGTGAATGTGTTGATCAACTGACTTCGGCAGAACAAGAGTTGTGTTCTTCGTTAAGACTTTTACCACGTGCATATTTGGCTATTAAACAAACGCTATTAAAAGAATCTCAGAAAAGAGGTGGCTTAAAACGCAGAGATGCTCGAACTCTTGTCAGGGTTGATGTAAACAAATTAGGTAAAGTCTTTGATTTCCTTGTCTTGAGTGGTTGGATACGTCACCATTAAATAAATCGCTGGTCAAATTAGAATTCAATAAACGCACTATCATACCTTATGAAGTTGAATGCAGTGTTATAGGAGTTGAACGATTTGGCAAAGCTTTTTAAACCCACGTGATTTTTCTTTAAAATAGTTGGCGACTTGACCGAGTGGTTAAGGTGTTGTGTTAAGGTCGCAATCTCGAAAGAGGCGTGAGTTCGAACCTCACAGTCGTCACGTTTTTGGTTGTTGAAATGTTTTACTTTATGGATGTGACAGCTTTCTGTAATGTGGTGAAATAGCAGCCTGCTGATGCACTGTATCAAGCAATATGGCACGCTTTTGTTAATCGCTTTCTTTGACAAGTGTATCAGGCTGCCTTGTTTGAACATTTAAAACAAGATGAACTTGTAGAAAATCTAATTGCTCTCTTGTCAGAGTAACATTTTTCCGGACAGGTCAGGCATTTTAATGCAGCTGTAAAGTCCGATCCATGAATAATGGATGAAAATTCTTTATTATCTTTCAAATGGCGCCTTTTATTTTCGCGGGATGGCTGGAATAGCGGTTTCAAGGATCATCTTCTCAGGGCATAACTTGGAATCTGAAGCTCAACATTTGCTGCGATCAGCCCTAGAGCTCATTGTTGCGCGTATTTAACTCCAACGTAATTTCACGCGGAACAAAATCTGTACTTAGATAAACTGTACCCGCGAAACACAATGTCTATGATACTCGAATAGCAATCTTGTCTTAACATCTATGTTCCCATTACAAATTACCTTACAAATTAAAGGCGGCTTGACCGAGTGGTTAAGGTGTTGTGTTCAGGTCGCAATCTCGCAAGAGGCGTGAGTTCAAATCTCACAGCCGTCACGTTTTACCATGCATGAGCTTATAAACTATTTTTAGCTTGCGGCTTGTTTCAATCTTTTTTAATACCGTGCGATACTTCTAATGCAAGCAGGCTCTGAACANCGGAACAAAATCTGTACTTAGATAAACTGTACCCGCGAAACACAATGTCTATGATACTCGAATAGCAATCTTGTCTTAACATGTATCTTCCCATTAAAAATTACCTTACAAATTGAAAGAGTTATCTTCAAGATAAGAAGATCTATCGGTAAATCAGGGGTAAACCACGTGTACAGATTCTGGAACGTGGATAGTCACATGGAGAATAGATCATTGGATAGAGCGGAGATTCAATCTTATAGATGTCACATCGTGATACCGCCGGAGGAATATAAAAGGCGGCCGATCTTCGCACTAATTCTGGGAGAGCCGGTTAGATCTACACGTCTAGTCAATATAGTTCTATTATAATCACCCGAAGAATTTTCAAAATTAAAGGCGGCTTGACCGAGTGGTTAAGGTGTTGTGTTCAGGTCGCAATCTCGCAAGAGGCGTGAGTTCAAATCTCACAGCCGTCACGTTTTACCATGCATGAGCTTATAAACTATTTTTAGCTTGCGGCTTGTTTCAATCTTTTTTAATACCGTGCGATACTTCTAATGCAAGCAGGCTCTGAACATGGAGGAAAGAGGATAAGGGTTGAGAACACCCAGAAGCTACCAGATTTTTCGTTCCAGCCATTTATGAATGTGCATAATCCGGAAATGATCTCCCAGCAGTATCCTCCAATGATATTACCATTTCAGCCGGAGGACATGAACTATCTGATGATGTATGATCCCTCAGCAATGCCAATGATTTCCCCTGCTTTACCCATCAATTACGGAGATGATCGTAGTGAGAGAAGCAATGAACTGAGGAAGGCATCAAACTCTAGTAGCACTCACTCCAGCTTGTCATACTTACAGCATCAGCATAATCAACAACAGCAGCAACATCAACCGGTCATACTACCATATCCTCCACCAGGATCTATCCAACCAAGGAGTGTTCACACATCTCTGGAATCATTAGGTTACACGGGAAAGAAAATCAGTAAAGGGAAAATAATGACAAGCCATATACAGAAAAAGATTCAAGACTTGGTAGACTACGACGAGAAATTACTAAAGAAAGCCAGAATGTTGGAGGAAGAGGTTCAAAAGTTGAAGGTCAATCTGGCAAAGCACGGCGTCGACTCAAACATGATCATGTTTCGGAATAAGGCCTCGGAATAGAATATAGATTTTCCTTCTAGCGTTGAGGCTTTCATGAGACAATTATCTGTAAGCATGAAACTCTATTCGCGTATCACCTGACTTGTTGCTCTGTGATCCGACAATGTTTTTGCAGCATGTCGTCTGATTTCAGCTTCAAACTTCTGGAGGGCTTCTCCAAAGTAACACGATGGGCCAGAGATCAGATAGAAGAAGCTGCGAACCAACTGCCACAAGGAGTTTTGAATAGGCAGGCCTCTGAAGGTGATATCATCGATCCAATGGGAAAAAGTTACACCTCCAGCTCTGGGGATTCAACTGAGTGGGAAGATCTTTTAAAGGATCCTTATTTCAAACGATGGGCAGACTCTGTGTTTCAGGATGCAGATGATAGAATGTATGAAAAGCAGCAGAAGGAAAGAGTTATGAAGGGTGGAGTGTATCTGCTAATGGACGAGGATTTGATTAGAGAAATGGAAACGCAATTAGGCAGCTTTGAGCTTGTTTCGGTAGTTGACTCTTCTGAAGGGGATTCCTTTGGGGATGGGGAAGTCACGTCTGATCAGAATCCCGTAACGTTGGAGGAATTTGAAGGGCTTTTACGGCAAGAAAATTACAGCCTGGAGAATATCGCAGAAGATATTGTTAAAAGAGGCATTGACAAAGAAAGCAGAAAAGAGATTTGGCCTTATTTTCTCGGTCTTTACCCTTTCCAAAGGATAACTTACGATAAAGATCAGAAAGATAAGTTCGAAAATCAACTGAAACAGGAATACGAATATCTTGTCAGAAGATGGAAGCATAACGAAGACATTTTGTTAAAGATTCCTCTTGAAGATAGAAAGCATCGTATCGAGAAAGATGTTGTTCGAACAGACTCTTCTTGTTCTTTTTACAGTGAATGCTCTGCAACAGACGCAGAAGTGGATGAAATGGAAAGACTTGATCACGGTTCTATTGTTGCGATACAGAAGCAGATGGAGATATTTCCTCGTTGGAGAGCTTTGAGGGATTTGCTAATGGCATACTCTGTTTTCCATGTCAGTCTTGGTTATGTTCAAGGAATGTCAGATATTGCAAGCCCTATACTCGCTTCTATTTGTCCTGAGCCTGAGAATGACTACAAGGCATTCTGGATATTTTCACACTTTCTAATACCATTTGTACCACGTTTACCAGCTGGCTCTCAGTTGTTCGAATGGCCAAATGAGGCATTGCCTTTGGCCAAGAATTTCCATATTGATCAAAGCGGAATGAAAACTCGGCTGATTATGATAACGTATTTACTTCGCATATTAGAACCCGCATTTTATGAAAAATTGAGACAGATGGATTCCGGGGAAAACAAGGTTCCAGGTAGCGGTGCAACATCTTTGTTTTGGCTGTTCAAGAGCTTGCTTCTAGTTTTTAAAAGAGATGTTCCTGAGGATGATGACTTTAGCTCGATTCTGAGATTATGGGATGCTATTGTTGTTGGCAGATGGTGTTGGAGCGCGTGGATGGACGTTTGGATAGCTGTTGCGATTGTCCATCTTTATGTGCGGCCTCATGTTCAAGCTGGCGCTGTTGACACATTTGAAGGACTTTTGAAACTCATGCAATTTGTTTCTGGTAGTATCGATGTGTTAGCGTCCATTAAATGTGCCAAAACATTGATGAACCGATTCAAATCAGTCATGGAACCTCCTAGCATCAAATTGTCTTTGGGTCTTGAAATTCCTTCCAGCGATGCGTATGCTAATGAGGTATGGAGACCGCTAGGAGTATTAACAAAAGATTTGAAAGATGCACTAACAGAAGATTTGAGTTCTACTTCAAACCGCAGAAAAGCAGCCCGTGCTCGCGATCCAAGGATATCAGTAGATGAAGCTATTGTAATGCTTTCTACAACAATTGTTGAGAATCAAGTTAACTAAAGTATTTTATTGCAAAAACGACCAAATGATTTAGTACGCCTTCCTCTTGCTTCATCGCTAAAAACCCTCCTTGAACGCATAATTTTTATTTTCCTGATGAGCTCGCAAACTTCATGCCTTGAACTGCAGCTGAAGATACTTTGTCGCGATTGTTCCATGCCGCTCCCATAGCTTTCTGACCTTGCTCGGATTTCGCTGCTTTAGCGATCGTGTCTTTGTGTTCCCATATAAAAGCTCCCGTCTTTTTACCAGCGTCTGATGCAGCAAACTCTCTTGTAGTATTTACGAGCTCAGATCCTTCTTCGGTCTGTGAGAACTTCAACATTTCCATTGTACTAGGGCCAGCTCTCGGTTTGGTACTTGTAGGAGGCAATGGTGGCTCCCCCAAGTCATCAATGTTGAAATTATTTCGCCTAGGAATGCTTGGCGGAGTTCCCGGTGCTGTTGATGTTTGAGACTGCGGCGTGATATTTCTTTTGGGCAAAGGCGGTTTCGGTCTTGTTTCAGAGTTTTCTCGACTATGCTGAGATGCGGAGTCTGAGTCGTTGGAGAATAAACCTGTTAGCTGTCTGGGTGGAATTGGAGGCTTCGCTCTTAAAGTATTTGACTTGATTTCCTCCAGTTGATTTAACAACACTGCTGGTTTGGTCAACTGAGAAGGGATAGGAGGCTCTTCCATTACATTAATTACAGGCTTGGTCGTGCGCGGTGGTAGAGGAGGCTCATCGACTACTAACGCATCAAACTTCAACAGATCAATGCTGTCTTCGCGTCGAACAGGGTTAGAAGGCTGTAAGACAGAACTTCTTGGTGGAAGATTCGGCTTTTTTGAAGCTTGAGCTTTAAGCCATTGAATATGTTCTTGACCTAATCTTTCAGGAACTCCCACACCGTTTACAATTCTGTTTGATATCATCCATAGACCGAGAGCAAACTCGTTTACATTGAGTTTGCCATCCTGATCGGTATCGCAAAGAGTCCATATTTGACCAAGAGTCTCTTTGGGCAACCCACTTTCAGAGAAAACTGGTTTTACTTCTTTGCCTGTAACAAAGCCATCAAGATCAAGATCAAGGTCCTTGAATAATCTTTGATACTCATCAAACTGCTCTTGCTCCATAAACCATGGGACATTTGAAGGTTGACTTGAAGAAACGGTCTGCTTTCTTGGAGGTAGCGCAGGTTTCTCTGTAACGCTCGCTGGTAC